TCACCTCCACGGGAGTCCAAAAGATGTGGGAGATTGTCTCGGTCAGGAAAAAGGCATCCACTTTGTTTACCAGCCATAACTGATGTTGTCCCATTATCACATTACATTGGAAGTGTTGTATTTACACCAGCTCCTTTAACATTTGCCAGAAACTGACAAATGTGCTTTTTTTTTTTTTTTTCTGGACTAGAGAAGGCTTCAGCTTAGGATGAGCAAGTGATTTTTTTTTTTCTTTTCTATTTTCAAAACTTGCTCGTATCAATGAACTGTAACACCACTGAGAGGAGACTGGATGGACCTGCAGCCCCCTGTGGACCTGGTGTACCGCAGCAATGATTGCAGGTTTTGCATTCCAGTCATGCTTTCTATACAACCAGCAAGTAAACGCAGGCCTAACCCTGCACACTCCCATGGAGAGGGCCAGCAATAAAAGTGTATGTAATCATCAAAAGCAGGGGGCAAGTGCCCTGGGCTTTACCTTGGATCAGCGCTCAGAGATGGGGAGGGGGATGGGAATCTGGACACGAGGGAGGAAGCTGGTTCAAGTGCAACAACACAGCTGCCACTTTTGGTAAAAACGGGTCTTAGCTTTCTGTTGTTCAAACTATAAACATAACACCTGTTGGGCTGTCCATGACAAAACCGGTGACCCGTGTAAGTGGTTATTTAGCTTCAAACAAAAGCCAAAGCAGTTATTGTCATTTAAGCAAAAACACAATGATTGTTTCTTACTTTCTGTCCTGTTATTTGGTTTTGCCCGGTGGACATCTGACCAACCGAGAGTCTACAACAAAAAGACAAAGTATGGACAGAAGTTGTGGAGAAAGGGTGAGGGTTCGCCCTCAATGCTTCCCAGAGGGCATAAGCAATTTTCAGCTCTAGTGAGCCAGCTCCAGGAATTCCTAAGTCTGAACACAGAACAATACTCAAGCTCATTTATTCACATCCTCTCATGGCAGCAACTGACTTGTCACGTTTTTTTTTTCTCCAATACACCAAACAAAAAGGGATTCGGGATTTCAGAATCCAACGAGTTACACAGGAAAAGTTTGAAACCATGACACCAAGTCTGTCTTATCATTTAGTTCGAGTATAGTGAACATGTTAATCCGTTAGGAAATGTGATATGAAGAAAAATCTGAATATTCACCTCTCTTAGGATAATGATGGCGGCGCTCATGTTCTGACTTGGGGCTCTGTCAGATGCACTGGCACTGACTGCCGTCGCACTGAGACTCGCAGGTAAGCTCTGTGATTGATAGCTATGCTAAGGAGTGCCACTGCTGCTCTCCCCAGGCGACGGCAGCTGCACTCATGCTCAGCGGGCCGGAGTGCCAGGATTTCTACCAGCCAGAACTGAAGTTGTTGAATCTGTCTTTTCCCTGTTCAGTACAACGTCCTTACCATTGTTCGCTACATCTTAGGGAAATGAGATAAAGATATTTTAAGCAGGGATTCTGACAGCAAAACTATATAACTAAACTTGATTGAAATATCACCGGCTCTCCTTGAGAAGAGGAAGTCTTTTTCTGCAGCAGCTTCATACTAACACAATTCACAGTATGCGAATGGAAGCTTTTAAAACCAAGTCTGAGCTCCCCTCAGACCTGCTTTGAAAACCGCGCCTGTCCACATCGAGCTGAAGAGGATTTGCGCATCTTTAGTCGACTCTAGCCAGGGCGCGGCTTTTCGCCTTGTTATGGCAGAGATTGCAGGTGAGGGACGAGGCTTATGGCAGCTGGAGGTGGACAAAGAGCAGCGAGGGGAGTTAACGGGCCTCCGCTGTGCCATGACCATCTATACTGATCCACTTTACTTCTCTAATCCACTTGTCTCATGCGAGCCACAAGTGTGTCCCATTGGTATTGTTGGTGTTTTTGAATATAAAATGGTGGACTTAAACATTTTATGGGGATTAGGCCAGCTTAGCTCCATGCCTAATGCAATGATTAGGGATTTCTGGCACGGCAGATAAGTGAATGTTCACTAGTTACTCAGCAACTGTGCTCAACTGTTTAAGACCTTTTTTAAGCCGAAATGGCAAAGTCTTGGACAAGACGGCTCTCCAGCTGCAGTAGTGTGTGTGTGTGTGTGTGTGTGTGTGTGTGTGTGTGTGTGTGTGTGTGTGTGTGTGTGTGTGTGTGTCACCCATGACACTTCAGTGACTTTGGCTACATCATCGTACATCACTTTCTCATTGGTCATTGACCATCTGATGAAGTCAGACAATCTAATGTCACCATCAAGCTCAAATCATGTGAGTGACCCACAGAGATGATGATGATGATGATGACAAACTACCTTAAACAATCTTTAAGTTACGAGAGTTGAGAAAACTGAAGCAAAACAAAGGAAAAGTAGAATACTGTTGGTATATAACCTCACCATAAAGGAAAATATGTTCACAGATGTGTGTTTTCAGGCAAAAGACTGCAGATTGCAGCGTGTCCACACAGCACGCATGATTAACATCCAGATGTTGCCTGAACAATGATGAATGTGGTTTCCCCCAGTGGTTTTTAGTCAGATTCCCCTCGACATGAATGTGATCTTTCTTTTAAAGGTCCCATATTATTATCTGCTTTTCTGGTGTTTTATTTTAAGTTGTGATATCTATAACAAGATGTATTTAAGTACCAAAAACCATCTTAGTGTAGTTTTACATTTCCACTCTCAGGCTTCTCCCTGGAGCTCTAGTAACGGCAGCTCGGTGAACCAATCAGAAGGGAGGCTCTGAGCCAGAGGTTGCATGGTGGGTCCAGGTGGGCTTGGTTTGGGGCATGTCTGAGGGCGGTGAGTGCTTTGTTGTGACATCACAAAGTTAAGGAAGTCCTGATGGCTCAGTTTCTGTACATACAGGCTGTGTGCATTTGTCTGTGGACTGAGGCTTTGATACTTTCACAGTATTAATATAGAAGCTAGACCTGATCTATGATGAAAAAACACATGGAGGTCTCACTTTATACGATGTGGGACCTTTTAAGTAACAAGAGTCCTTTCAAAGAAAGCTTTTGATTTAGAGGTTGAATAAAGTTTGATTTGTTCTTGTACAAAAAGGGAGCTTGAGGGAAAAGCTGAAGCAGTGCTCCAGCTTGATGATATTTATGTCAAACTCGAGGAGTGATAAGCCCAACAAGTGAGCCATAAAACCTGAACTCCAGCATCCAAAAATGGCTGCAAGAGTTGTGGCTGGGGTGAAGACGCAGAGCAGACAAACCACATTACTCCCAATATCAAAGGCCTATGAAGCTGCAGAACTGAGCAGTGTATAAATCAAAGCAAGGTCTGCAACACAGGCGAGTGTTTAAGGTTAAAAGCGAGAACTAGTAGGTCACTTGGGGATCAAAAGAATTTTTATAGTGCCGTATGAGGAGAATTTTTAAGTGCAAGTTGGAAGTGGACCTTTGAAGAAGATGATGTCAGGTCCAATTTTGTCAATAATTCCTTTTTTTTTTTTTTTATTGAACTCATGTTAATATGGGCTGTGTGGTGGAAGGAAGACTGATTTTGAAATGCCCATCAACTGCAAATATGGGGGATGTTTGGCAAACACATGCAGACGATAGAAGAAATGAAAAGAAGGCAATTCAAGCCACAAGCTTAGTCTTAAGGCATTATGTGGTCGCAAATGTATCCGTCAGAAAGGATAGGCAGACAAAAGCCTCAGAAAATGCACAGCTTAGAGCGCTCTGTGTGGAAAAGTAAGCACCACGTTGATAACAGAGGAGATGCTCATGCTTTGAAATGACAGCAAAGGTTTTTTTTATTTTTTAATTTTCTCTTTTTTATACATCACATGGATTTGTACCTCTAGGAATTCACAGCCTGTGCCTGTTTTTATATATTATTTTATTATCTTTGTAGGTCTGCTGTTACAGGTTTAAATTGGTTCAAACTCAACATTTGGAAACACTTTTAGACGAAAATAATTATACAAAACCGCGTTATCCAGTCAGAGAAAAAAAATAAAAAATAAAAAAAAATTTCTTCCACTGATTACTTGAATGAATCACGCTTTGTTCAACCTTTTGCCGCCACGCTGAGGCTACTGTTGTGATATCCTCATTTTCATCAGCCATTTATGTGCACTTAGATGGTGCAGTTTTTTTTAATGAAGTTGGTGTCTCATGGGGAGATGTTATTTATGCACTGATTATGGAAAAAAATCTGATATCAAGTCAGATATTCGTCCTTTTAATTACCCGTCTAATTGGTGTATAGACAAAAGATCTTGCAGGGTGCACTATTTACAAGACTACGACTAGATTATTTTGAGATTATTTCCCATAATGCTCCTGGTTGACATTTACAGGAAGAAAAGCTCTTTGAAAATCTAAATAATAGTAATTATTATAATTGCATACACTGTAATTATCATGATTCGCCCCTAAAATGACCGTGTTCAGTTTCGTATATATGATTTCCTGTTTTATTTTATTATTTACCTTGCCTCCTTCGGGTATTTAATGCCGGCCTTACACCAAAACACTCACACTGTCACCCCTCCCTGGAGTCACCTCCACGCTCACTATCAACTCGGTTTGCTGCTTCGTGTTTGGTGCTGGTGAAAGTTGACAGTGTTCACGTCACTGAACGTCACTATTTGCATGAGCAAGGACTAAAAACTCACAATAATATTAAACATGTTTTAATTTTTATTGGAGCATCGAGACGAAGAAAAGACAGACTTAAAACAGCGCGGACGATCACCTTACATCGAACGATCGAGAGAACTGTAGCAAAACTCTGCTGATTTTATTCTGAAAGTGTTTTGGAAATGTTTCTGTGACAGTGAAATCACTTAAAAAGTCGTTTGGTATGAGGCAGACATTCTTTTTGAGTCGATAACAGAAGTGAAGTGGTCCAGAATGAGTTATACTTAATAGCATAATATAATTTTACCTGTCACTCTATGATAAAGTATATGCTGTTCAAAAGACTAAGAATCTGATGCTGATGCACCTCATTACAGATCTCTTCTCTTTTGTTCTCTTTTGCAGGTTCCATCTGAGTAGGAGGTGGCAACAAAAGACCAAATGCCATGGATGCATTCAATTTCACCTACTGGAATGCCTCTGAAGGCAATGACACAGAAGTCAAGGAACAGAGTGAGAGCCCCTACAAGACAGTGGAGGTGGTGTTCATCGTGTTGGTGGCCGGTTCCCTCAGTTTGGTTACAGTTATCGGAAACATCCTGGTCATGCTTTCCATCAAGGTTAATAGGAACTTACAGACTGTCAACAACTATTTTTTATTCAGCCTTGCATGTGCTGACCTGATTATCGGACTGTGCTCCATGAACTTGTACACAGTCTACATAGTAATAGGCTACTGGCCCCTGGGGCCGGTGGTGTGCGATCTGTGGTTAGCCTTGGACTATGTTGTCAGCAATGCATCTGTCATGAATCTACTCATCATAAGCTTTGACAGATATTTCTGTGTCACCAAGCCCCTCAGCTACCCTGTCAAAAGAACCACCAAGATGGCAGGGATGATGATCGCTGCAGCCTGGGTTCTGTCTTTCATCCTCTGGGCACCCGCCATTCTCTTCTGGCAGTTCATTGTTGGTGGGCGGACAGTGCCTGAGAAGGAGTGCTACATCCAGTTCTTCTCCAACGCTGCCGTCACTTTCGGCACCGCCATTGCCGCCTTTTACCTGCCCGTCATCATCATGATCCAGCTCTACTGGCAGATCTCCAGAGCAAGCAAGAGCCGTGTGAAGAAGGATAACCGTAAGCCATCAGCGGCCATCCCAGAGCCGCTGTCACCTGGCCAGAGGAGGAACAACACGCCAAAACCCAACAACAACAATGTCCCAGGTGAGGACGCAGGGGGCTCCCAGAACCAGAATGCTGACGACGGGGCCAACCAGCACGATGGGAAACTGCAAAACGGTAAAGGCCCCTCCTCAAACACCGCTGACGGAGAAACCGAAGGTGACGACGGGGCGAGGGAGAACTGCGCTCCCGGAGAAGAGAAGGAGAGCTCCAATGACTCGACATCCGGCAGCGTGGCCGCATCCAACCAGAAGGACGAGGAGGCGGTGCCGTCCACTGCCAACTCCAGCGTCGAGACCAGTCAGCCACCCACGCGTCAGCGAGCCAAGGCAGGGGGCTCCAAGCTGACCTGCATCAAGATCAAGACGAAATCACCCAAGGGTGACTGCTACACACCGTCCAACGCCACCGTTGAGATCGTCCCGGCCTCGGAGCGGCAGAATCACGTGGCGCGGAAGATCGTGAAGATGACCAAGCAACCTCCCAACAAGAAGAAGAAAGCGGCGCCGTCGCGGGAGAAGAAAGTGACCCGCACCATCATGGCCATCCTGGTGGCTTTTGTAGCCACCTGGACTCCTTATAATGTGATGGTGCTTATTAACACCTTCTGCTCCAGCTGCATCCCCAACACAGTGTGGACTATTGGTTACTGGCTGTGCTACATCAACAGCACCATCAACCCGGCCTGCTACGCTCTGTGCAATGTCACATTTAAAAAGACATTCAAACATCTTCTCCTCTGCCAATATAAAAATATTAGGTCGGCCAGATAAATAAGAGCCAGAGCTGAAGTATGAGCTGCCTGTGTGTGTGTGTGCGTGCTTGTGCACCATCCATATATATGTGTGTGTGTGTCTGAGAAAGAGGTTTGTGAGCATGATGAAGACCGCAAGAGTGTATATTACTGTCCATCATTTTATCATTACTTTTCCAATTTCTCTCTCAATAACCGGTTGTAGCACTCTACACAAATTCAACTGATGCCAGTTGCGTTGAGCTGTGTCGTGCAGAAGCAGCGTAGATGAGGAAGGTTGGGGAAATTCAGCTAAAAAGCTAAAAAAAATAAAAGGGAAAAAGTGTAAAGCAGACAGCACTTGGAGGTCGCACTGAGCTGATAAAAAAATAATAAAATAAAAAATGAAAACACGATAAAGAGTGGAGGAAGATCTACGCTGTTCAAGAAAACTTCAAAATGGGAAAATAGGGCTGACTGAATTTACAAACCTCACAAGTTTGAAGTTCAGTGAAGATACCTGTAGATAACTGTACATATCAGTGTATATCTGTGTGTGTGTGTGTGTGTGTGTGTGTGTGTGTGTGTGTGTTGTGCCCCTCTGCTGCCTTCTCTCTCTCTCTCTCTCTCTCTCTCTCTCTCTCTCTCTCTCTCTCTCTGTCTGTCTGTGATCATCATCATGACACTTCCAACCAGCAACATGTAGAATAAAGTGGGGCAGCTTGCAGATTGCCTCTGACATGGTCACATCAGGGCTGGAAGCCGTCCCATCCGCCAACGCGCCCCTGTGGGAATGAGCTGCCATCAATACGTAATGGATATATAAATATATTAAAGCAGCACTTGTCAACTTTGCCCACTGCTGGGACCAAGTGGAAGAAATAATTTCAAACTTTAAAAAAAAAAAAAAGCATTTTCTCACTTAGTATTTCTGCTGGTGGTGTTCAGCCATGCACATGGTTAGGTTGCCAGGTTTTGAAATATGTCTCCAAATTTCTGCCTCCAGCTCAAAACAATTAAGGTGAATGCATTTTTGTTTTTGCTCACAGCATTGAAAAATGACTTAAAAAATTCACCAGCAGCTTGAAAATGAAGAAAAAGTATTTTTGTACAGCCGACAGTGAGAAAATGTTTTTTTTTTTGTTTTTTTTTTTTTGTCTCATAAATTTGAATTTAATACAGGATGTTGATCCATATTGTGCCATGATATAGAAAAGTATTTATCCATAAGATGGCGACACACTGCAAATACCATGAGATCACCTTTGATTTTAAAGGAGCAGTTAAGGGAAATAATGATTTACTTTCTTGCTGAGAGTTAGATGACAAGATTGATTCCATGTCTATAAATATGAAGGTGGGGCAAGGAGATGTTTATCTTAGCGTAGCATAGCATAAAGACTGGAAACAGAGGGAAACAGCTAGCCTGGCTCTAAATCTCATTTAATCTGTACAATAACTGCAGTGTGAAAGCAACTATTTGCTTTTTTTTTTTTATCACCATGAGAAATCACTGCACCCAGCCAAGAAATAGTCCCTCACATAACCCCAATAAAACCCAAAACTTGTTGTTCACATTTTTGGGTTTTGTACAGATTAAACTTTTATAAAAGAAACCTCACTGAGTACGACCTGTCATGCAGAATAACCAAAAAGTTGTAGAGAACAAGAGAAACCAAACAAACAACAACAGTTACGACTTAATAAATTTTTTTTTTTTTTTTTTTTTTTTTTTTTAAATGTGGCATGAGATTGTTCAGTAGCGCTCTTTGATTCGCCCACAGTTGTACCACATCACCTCAGCTTCTCCGACTGCTGACAGTGTGTCTGATGTTTATTTCATGGTGGCTATTAAGATATTTATGTTTGCTGTTGTGTTGTTCACCACTGCGAGGATCCCTCCTACTCAGTGAGTGAAACAGGTGGTCGGAGCTCAGAGCTGCGGCTTGACACGGTCTGTGGGAAGGCGGTTTTTTTTTTTTTTTTCCCTATGTGTGGATGAGTGGGAGACGTCATTTGATCCGGCTGATTAGTGGATTTAATGTCACAGGGTGCACTGTACTGATGATGACTGAAGACCTGAGTGAGTGAGTGTGTGTGCGTGTGTGTGTGTTCGCTCCAAGAGTGGAGTTTTCTTCTGATCACAGGTTACTACCTCGTGATTTATATAAGGGCTACTTCTGTGTCTTTACATGTTAAGTAAACCATTGTTTTTATTAATTTTCAATTAATCTCAATTAATAATCCTATGAAAATCATCTTTTTAGATTAAATTAATAGTATTGTAATAGAAAAAAAGAAATGAGAAACTATCAATTTACTGTAGGATCTGTTCCGTGTATCCATGCGTGTCATCCATCATTACACACTCTTAGAGTCCTCGGTTACATTAATGTGCTCTCACCAGTCGGAGCGATGAATGCCATCAGGAGGTTGCCGCAGTGGCTGGTAGGGGGGCTTTGCGGAGAGTTACTCCTTCACTGAGCAGCTCCTCAGGGCTGTCTCCTTAAAGAGAGATCTGGGACAGATCCTATAATGAAAACTCACCATGAGGCCGATCAGATTACGGGACGATGTGGAACACCTACATTTGAGATTAAAGATTGCCCATTACACGCTCAGCTTGTGCTTGCATGCTACGCACCCATGCCCCACTTAGTGCTCCACTCAGCCTCTCCCTCATTCATATATATATATATGAGATCATGAAATGTAAATATCACATGTACATTCATTAACTTGTTCTATAATTAAATCTTTGGCTCTCCCTTCCTGCTACATTATACACTGTGCAGCTTCTGTATGTGCAGAGTAGAACAGGAGAAACATGCTTGCATGCTGACATTTACATTTCTCTGCTGTAACCTGCAGCGAAATGTTAAAGTGTTGTGTTAAAATACCAGACATCCCAAAGCTGTGGATGTATCTCTATTAGCTCTTTTCCACTGCAGGGTTCAACTCAACTTGTTTTCCACTGGACAAAAATTGTGGATAGCATCTGATACCTGGAACATTGTTTGTATGTATCTAATTGAAGATGAAGTCACGATAGCTTCATATAGCGTCACTATAGTAATGAAGCCACATTGAGGAGTCGTGGAAAAAGACGTACCTGGTAACGAGTCAATGCAGATGATGCAGTTAATGGATTCATAGAAAAAACTTGTGACAAATTAGTCGGTAATGAAAGTAATAGTTAGTTGCAACCCTATGCAAGTGCAGTATTGACTGTCAAGCTCAGTAGACTAGAATCATAAAGTAGTGTAAAGCTGAAATGTCTATGGTAGAAGTGTCGCAGAAGTACAGTTCATTTCTTTCCACCACTGGTGAGCATACATAGATGGTCCGTGTTTAGCTGTTCCAGCAGGAACTCAGGCATCCATCCAAGTTCAGCATCCAACCATCCGTCACGGCGATAAGTGGAGCCATGTCTGTCTGACATCTGTCACACATCTCAGTAGTGGGTAAAGAGCCTTCCAGAAGATCTGATTAATCTTTTGCTAAGCTGTCGTTTGAGTGATACCAGCAGGGAGAGTAAGTGGCTCGCAGCTCTAGCGGTGGTCCAGGAGGTCCCAGTTGGAGCAGCTGCGTGGGTGTTTGATGGAAAGTGATGGCAGTTTATCACCTCCTGGGACGGGGGGGGGGGGGGTTTGCATTTAAAAAAAAAAAAAAAAAAAAAAGTGTGCTTACAGCAGTTATCTCCACGCCACGCACTTTCAAGCATCAGGAGTTGAGAAGTTTCCGTAAAGTGTTTCCTCTCCCGCTGCTCTTGTTGCCAAGTTGTTGAGCAGATGAGAACAAAAGGGCGTTGGCGTATCAGGTGTTTTCCCTCTGTGTTGGAAACAGGGGAAGAGGGCTGATACGAAGGAACGAGGGCGGTGTCGTTCGGTGACGGTGAAAGAGAGTGATTGTCATGCATTGCAAGGGAGAGGGCTGCCTGATAGACCCCCAAGGTGTACACTTATGTACATATGAAACAAGATAAGCTTGCCTTTTGTAGTCATGGTTACTGCAGGGCTTGAGAGGAGGAGGAGGAGGAGGGAGGGAGGGGGTGAGGGGGTTGTCTGTCAGTGACAAAATCCAAAGCTCAGAGGATCATGCTGCATGTGGACCATGTTTGGAGAAATCACAGCTGTTCTGTGCAGGTCAGCCAAGGGTTCTGCTGCAGGAATTTGAGCGTCCCAGACAAAACCCGCCGCCTGGTGTAAACACAGCGTGATACGGCGCTGTTTACCAGCCCTCCTTCACTTTTACTGCATCTCATTCTCGTATTGTGTGGACCGTTTCACTCTTTGTTTTTATGTCATCATCCACAAGTCAATTCACATGCGTATATGCTCATGTGTGGGACATACATTCATCTGTCTCATCTGTCAACAATAAGCGTTGTAATCAACGGATCATAATGTGCCGTCAGAGCTAGCTGGGCTCCTCTTCATACGGCTTATGTCAAAGGGCTACGCTCCTTTTACGGAGTACATCTGACATGTAAGGTTTTTATCAGAGATGGCTTCAGACTTAAGGTTTCTGTCTGGCTTCACTCTCGGGAGGGGGGTGGGGGTGGGGGGGGGGCTTGCTGAGAAAAATCTGCAGGAGTGAAAACTCAGCAGCTTGTACGTGCTGTGAGAATTTCTATTGGAGACAGACAGTAAATATATAGAAATGTATATCGCCAGATTGTACAGAGCAATTTGCAGTGCCTTACCCAGAGTGACAAAAACAAATTGCTCTTCTACCCTGAAAAAAAATCCCCTGTTGTATCTTTAGTGTGTCTGTGCTGGAGGTTGTAGATGGTGTAGACGTTATTCAGCCTTCCTGAATTATCTTCTTTTTTTTTTCTTTCGTTAAAGATATAGTGCGTCTCAGCTCTGAGCTCCCATTACTGCAATTTCCATCTTAACAGCGACGGCCTGATCGGAGAGGCAAGCAAAGTTCGGACTGAACAATCTGAAATCATCTCGATGCCTTTTTTGAAATAATTTATCAAAAACCGAACAGTGTACAGTCACAGCGGTGACATCTTTCAATTCAAAACTCTTCTGCAGGCACACACGGCTGTTTTGGGTGATTTTTCCATCAAGTGTGTGTGTGTGAGTGAGTGTAACGTGTGTGTGTGTGTGTGTGTTCACATTTATCATAGGGGAAAATTCTTCCTTGTGCAAACTCTGTGTCATTATGTAGAGATCAGTGCTGTCATTTGTATGGGTGTGTGTGTGTGTGTGTGTGTGTGTGTGTGTGCAGCTCACTGTGTGGTGTTATATTTTTTCCAATTGGCATCCTCAGCGTGAAGACATCAGATTGGACAAAATATCATGGCACACATCAGGGAAGATGTGCACAGTGTGATCGTCTGTCTCTGCCATCACTCCTTCCTCTTTCAAACAGTCTTTCAATAGCAACAGGCTTCCAAAGACTCACTATAGGACACAGCTTTGCGTGGTACTGGAATAACATATGAAATACATTATATTGTACATTTTCTATCACATTTTATAAATCTGTTTATCATTGTACAAAGTACAAATGTAGTATTACAAATTAGACTATGATCAGTGTACAGCCAGTGTTTTTTTGTTTTTTTTTTTCAAATTAAAAATGTTCTTAAAATCTATAAAGAATGAATATTATGGGATATGAAAGAGAATCTAATTATAAAAGCAGAAACTATAAATATATGTGCATTTCTGCAGTCATGATTTGCTAAGAAATGGATTGTTGCCCTGCAAAAATGAGCGACTGGATCCAAACTTTTCAACTTCGGAGAAGTGATTTCAAGAGTGACTTTTGCAGCCAGAAAGGGGGGAAAAAAATAAATAAAACCCAGGAGGAGGAGGAGGAGGACAAAAGCTAGAAACTAGTTTCAGTGTGAGCCAGAGGCCCAGAAGGCAAGGGCTTCATTTTGATTCCACCTGTAAATTTCTAAGGCTTCACACTCACCTTGGGAAGAAGCTGGTCGTCGGCTCCTATCTCACTGGACACACTTTATAACTTTTGCAATTTTAACAACCTGGGAAAAAGATTTTTTTTTTTTTTTTTCTCTTGTGGGGCAACCAGCGTGTTGAGGGTTGAATTCTTTTGACCCAATCTGAACTTTAAAGGGTCACGATGAACAAAATCAGCAAACAAAAAAAATAAAAAATAAAAAATTAAGTAGCCTGCTGCAAGTGTTAAATGTACATACAAGTGTTCATTTTTCATTTGCTTCTGTATGTAGATGTTCATTGTGTATTCACTCACTGTGGCTTGTGGCTTCTCTTGCAATAGGAAAAAAAAAAGTCTATTGTTTGAATTGTATATATCTAATATGATAATACATTATATGTAATTAGGATGCAGTACATTTGAAATGTACATACATGTGTTCAATAGCTACTATCTGAATGTTTCCCCCCTCCCCTCCCTTCCCCACCAAGAATCCCTCATTTATTCTCCTCCCCTTCCCTCTCCCTCTCTCTCCCCACTATGATACTTCCTGTACAGTAAAACAATGGTATGGATTTTTTTTTTTTCCTTTTTAATGCATTCTTGATTGATTATTTGTTTCTGGACAATGAGTGTTACCATCACCGGGCACTTATGAAGCTGTAAAATGAAACTGCATTATGTGGTTACATTGTGCCATATTCTCTCAGAATGAAATTCAAAATAAAAAATATATGAAATGTGTAATAGTGTTTTTTTTTGACAGTGAGGAAGCACTTTGTGAAGATCTCTTCTACTTTTTTTTTTTATTTCATTTTATTTTATTTTATTTTTTTACATTTTTATTCATTTTATTTTTGGAAATGTAACAGGAAATGTTAAGTCCAAGCTGAGGACTACAGTAGTGTGGACTTTAATTTTTACAGCCAGGAGGTGGAGGGTAAAAATCAGTGGGTATATAAACTGAGGTACAACAGAGCAGCAGGAGGAAAAACAAACTAAGAACAGTAACAGTTTGCACACATGTAGAGCTTCTACTCCAGACACAACTAGCTCATGCTTTGTTTGCTCTTAGTGGAAATAAAAGAAAAAAAGAGAAATATTATACCACAGTTTTAGGAGGGAAAGGGTTACAATTAACTTGAGCCACTTGAAAAATTTCTTTTTTTTTCTTTCTTTTTCTTTTTTTCTTTTTCTTTTTTTTTTTTGCTCAAATTAATGAAGTGAAGATGTTCAGAGCTCCACTTTGAGCAAACTGCTTCATTAAGTCCAAAGGCTTTTCCAAATTAGAGTTAGGCTATGCAACTGTAAAACAAATCCTACCCAATTTGTACTTCCGAAAATGATCCTAGAAACAACATCATTAGGTGAGAACACTAGTAAACAAGTCTCCATATTCATTATTTTGTCCCTACCACTGAGTATTACATCTCCTATATCGCAACATACAAGTTCGTATCAGGTGCTAGAAAGAAGAAAAAGTAAAACATGTCGTTACTAATAGTCGTGTTTCCACTGTTTTTTTTTTTTTTGTTGTTTTTTGTTTTTTTTGTCAAAGCTCTATTGGCTCCTACTGTCAATCTACAGGACATATAAAGAGGAACCGTGTTGAAATAGGGCAGTGGACGTTTTTTTTTTCCACCCTCTTCTTCCTTCCTCCCCCGTGACAAACAACCTCATCAGTCCATTTGGGCGCGCTCTCGCTTCTTGCCTTCCTTCTTTTGCTTCTTTGCATCTGCAAGGAACAGAGAAGGAACAAGGAGTTACAACCCGCAGTGTCGACTTTCTTTACAATTTCTCTGCTAGAGGTGGTGTCTTTGACAATAAACAAATCCCATTGTCTCCATGAAGAGCCCCCGTGCTCCGCTTCAGATTCTAATAATCAACTTAATTGGTTTGGCTTCTTTTTTTGTGCAGGTTTTTAATGCCATGATATTGAAAACAGCCAGTCGTCACGCTCTCTCCTGGGGATTGATAGGGTGGCTTGGTGTGTGTGTGTGTGTGTGTGTGTGTGTGTGTGTGTGCGTGCGCGTGTGTGTGTGTGTGTGTGTGTGTGTGGATGTGTGCCCCATGAAGAAAAAAACGCTTTATCAACTTCCCGCAACAGTGCATTGGTACCTGGCAGCCATGACAAGAAGCCACAGTCCACTGCCCCCCCCCCCCCCCCCCCCCCCCCCCCCACACACAACACACACACACACACACACACACACACTTTCTGGTGTATGGCCTCTCCGCTCTGGTGAACAGGAAAGGAGCATGACCTGTAGCGGTTTGGCTAGCTAGCCTCTAGCTAGCTGTTTGCCAGACTGTCAATCTGCAGGGATGTTTGTGTGTATCTGCTCGTCTGCACATGTGTGTGTGTGTGTGTGTCTCAGTCCTTTTGCATTCTCTGAACACACACCTACAAATAAAAGGAAAAGCCAGAATAAAAGAGTGCAGTCCGACCTAGCAAATGCAAGCTAACTGAAGTATGAAAATTAGCGATATGTAGCTTTGTGTTGAGATGTCTCCATTGTCTCTTCTTGTCTCCATTTTGGATTTGAAATGGTCACGGCTAAGTTAAAGAGCTTGCGGAGACAACGTGTAGCCTAAAGTGCTATTTTCATGTTACCCAAGTGAACACTTTGAGCAAAGTTGACTTGAAAGCCTAAGTGCTTCAACAAGGCTCCATCAGCCCATCGATAATGGCCTTCAGCCAATTCAACACCTATGGGAGATTTAGGACCAAGGTGTTAGACAGCGTTCTCCACCACCACCATCATCAAAACACCACATTGGATTATCTTGTAGAATCTATGACAAGGAAGTAATGAAGCTGTTTTGGAGGCTGAAGGTGGAGCAACTAAGACACTTTATTTTGAAAATCTCTTTTTATTGGTGTTTTTCAGATTGAAATAAAGAGAGGGGGGAAAAAAAGGAACAAGTGGATTTGCCTTCAGCCACTTCCCTGTGATGGCTCTCTTGCTTGCGACCAACAGTACTGTGTAGAGCTATTCATCCAGAGCCTTGAGTTTGCCTGGAAGTATAATGTGAGAAAAGAGCAAGCTACTTCTGTTTCTTCCTTATATCCTTATTTCTTTGGCAAGCTCGTGCCAATATAAATGGATTTAGAAGTCTGCCATTGGTTTAACCACACTGCCTCCAACATTCATCGTCTCCCTGAAAACCTCAGTGTTTTTTTAATTTCAAATTTGGAGTAAAAATATATTGTATTTATATTTTTGTTGGTGTTTCCAGTTATTTGTAATATTATGTTGACATCTGCTGTTTGTGATCACCTCTTTTAAAGTCTGGTACAGTTAGTCATTAGCAGCCAATGTCTTTGAGACCAAGTGCCACTAGTTTTTGTTTTTGTAGTGTGTGTGTGTGTGTGTGTGTACACCGCACAAAAATATAAATGCAACACTTTTTCTCTTGCTTCCATTTTTCATGAGTTGAAATTAAAATTCGAAGATTTTTTTCTAAACACACAAAATGCTTCTTTCCCCCAAATATTCTTCATAAACGTGTTTAAATCTGTGTTGGTGAGCACCTGACAGGTGTGGCATATCAAGATGCTGATTACACAGCATGATTACTGCACAGGTGTGCCTCGGGCTGGTCACAATAAAAGCCCACTTTGAAATGTGCAGTTTTATTTTGAAAAAAGGAACATTTCTCAGGTACTGAAGCACAGATTTCAGATGTGCATTTTTTGGTGGGTAGCTGTGGATCAGAAAACAAGTCAGTATCTGGTGTGACCACCATTTGCCTCATTCAGTGCGACACATCTCCTTTGTACAGAGTTGATCAGGACGTTGACTGTGACCCGTGGAGTTGTGCACCACTCCTCTTCAATTGGCTGTGTGACGTTGCTGGATATCGGCAGGATGCGGAACATGTTGTCGAACACGCAGATCCAGGGCACCCCCAAACATGCTCAGTGGCTGACGTGTATGATGACTACACAGGCAAATGTGTACATCATGCGGCCAGATGCACGGCATGACAACAGGCCTCAGGATTGCATCACGCTGTATCTGTGTGCATGTGTCTGTTTTGTGCTTATTGTAGGGAACCCTCATCTCACATGGCCACATGAGTTTCAGATATAAAGGGTCAGGTTTTCCATGACACACCATGGGCTTATTATTGATTATTCAATAATATATTATCAATGAAATATTACATAATTGGGTGAACAGTTGTATTCCAAATAATAAATCCGTTCAGTGTGAGTGAGTAGAAGGAAGCTCATATTTTCTGCACTTCTTAGTGTGTTTCACAAAATATATGTGTTTATTTGTGTTTCTTAGATGCTACTAATCCCTGACTGTAAGTGCTGTTCTCTCGCAAGCTTTTCAGCTTATGCCATGTTGAACAGAGATGTCAGCCCGGCTAATCCACACCCTCTTTTTTTATTTAGACCATGTACATGATCCAAAGCAAGTTCCTTCTGCACTTAATACTAAATTTAGATCCTCTCACATCACTGTTGTTTAGCTTCACAGCTAAACCCCATATACTTTCACAGTGGTGATGTTGCGGAGGTCAGACTTGTAGTGGTAGTCAAATAAAATGAGCAGATTTGATTTAACATAATGAAGATCAAATGAAAGGACAGTAATATATGGAGAACAAGATCTCAGTGTATTTTTTTAAAGAGATATAGTTTGATAATACAAGAGTGTCAATGCTTAAACCTTGAATAAATTCTCATATGAATGGATTATCTTGAAAGGACACCTCCACAACTCGCAAATCCTCTAATGACATGCCGGCAAGCAGTTCAGAGGCGCGACAAGGTATGCTTAGTCAATGAGTTTTCAATTGAGTTTCAGCCTTTTAACATTCTGACTGTGCGCTATGAGGAAATCTTAGAAATCTGTTCTTGTCACCTCGCTCGCAAACTTTCCGCGGGCATTAAGATTTTGACATGCAAAGCGCTCTCACCCATGCAAATACAGAAATTGCTCTTCCATCCCATTTGTTTGCTTGTTTTCATTTGTTTTACTGTTTTTCTCTCGCTTTTTTTTTTTCTTTCTCCCAGTCTCATATATATATATATATATTTTTTTTTTTGTCAGCATTTTTCCTTCTCCCTGGGGAGGGAAGACGGAGGAAAAAAGGATCCGCTCTCATTCTCTGTTCTATCTGCTTCACGTATGAGATGGGGACTCTCAAACCAGCCTGGAGTGCTTTCTGCTGCATTTGCACTTTACATGACACTGCTCACTCCCCCTCTCTGCGTCTGACACACACTCAAAATTAGACTGTTCCAATCTGCGCTGAGCCGAATTATGAATTTGCTCAAAATGGGAGTTAAGAGCCGAATGTGACATTTCATAAAGTGCTACAATGTAACCCAGTTAATTTACCCAAGTATGTGTGTATATAAGTATAATATTAATTTAATGTTACTTTTATATTTCTACTTTATAACATTTCTTTTGCGTACTACTTTATGTGTATCTTAATCTGCAAAGTAACGTCATAAATTCAGTTTAAAGTATAGATTTACATATAAAACATTAAATCGCATAATAAAAATGGTGCAGTACTATTGATTAAAATCAGCATAATGAGCACTTTTACCTTGGATACTTGAAGTTTTTTACCCATAAGACTTACATACTTTTAAATAAGTAAAAAGCAATGCATTTATTTTACCATATACAAAAATATGCCATAGAAATGTGTGCAGGTGTGTGTGCGTGTGTTTTCCAGGCGACCTTTTTAAGACACTGACCACAAACTATAACATCCTGCTTTTGCTGCACATCGTTCCTCATCTCTTCCTCGGCTCATTTCCTGTTGTTTCTCGACCGCCATCACTAATGAAGACATTTATGCCCCACACATATCGTATTTGAAAATGTGTAAACTAAAGCCAAGTCGCAGCTGGCACTGGGTGAGGGTGGGGTATACCCTGGACACAGGTTGCTAATCATCAATTAACCTAAACCTGCATGTCTGTGGACTGTGGGAGGAAGCCGGAGCACCCGGAGGAAACCCACACAAGCATGTGGAGAACTTGCAAAGTCCACACAGAAAGTCTCTGTCCCAGAACCCAGAACCCTCCTGCTGTAAGGTGACAGTATTAACCACTGCACCACTGTGCCACCATGTTAATTTTATTTATATGTCCTAAAATTACACATTTGTATCAACAGGCTTTACAATCCCACACACAGACAGTCACTTAGACCGCTAAAGCAAGAGAGATGTGTTCATTTGAATTCTAGATTAATTCATTAAACAAATTCATCAGTTCAAATTGACAAAGTTTTGTATTCTCCCTGCACCTTGCCTTAAGATCCAAAGACAATCTCAAGGAGGTCATCATCACATAGTGACTGATGATCTGTCAGTTCTATTTTAATGTAGAAAATCTGCCTAAAAACTTCTTTTCTTAACTTTATATTCTCTGCAGTCGTGGTTCTCTGCCTATGTAGGGCACAAATACTCAGTGTAACAAGGGTAATGTGATGGCATGCGTTTGATTTAAAAATCAGAAGACCACCTGTCTGTCCAGGAAGAATGACAAATACAAATTCGCTCCAAAACAAATTCAAAGACGCCAAATTTATCCGGACAAAGCTTTTTGTTTCACCTGAAGTCAACTCTGGCGTCCAAACAAACCCGTGTTCCGCTCGCCCCTGTTCTCCTGAAAGGGAAGGCGGGGGACCTTGAGGTTTCTACAGGCATTCATAATGTTTCATTTCTGTCACTCTTTGTTCTCTCTCCCGCTCC